AGCGCCTGTGCCTGAGGCCTGGGCTGAAGCACATTTGCCTAATGGCACAGCTGGTGTCCGACACTGATGCAATTACAGTGCCTCCTAAGCAGACAGCTAGTTCCCTTAAATTATGCTTTTAAATTATAACCCGAAGAAAACTGTTCTCAAATGTACCACATATCAATTTAGTGACTGTTCATTATATTTTTTTGGTATTAAAAGATCAGACAAATATGTAGGACTGATAAGTCCCCCAGTACTGGCTTTCCTCATTCTCAAGAACTCTGTCCCAAGTAGTATTTTCCTGGCAGACTCCTGACAATCCCAGTAGGAGGTCGGGAAGATTTCACTTTCCTTCTACAGATCATGCAGCTTTTAAAGCTTGAGGACTAAGTGGTCTGCTCAAAGCTACATCTCTGTGTGCGTTCAGATCCAGACATGTCACCCTTTTGGCCTGTTCCCCTTTGCACTCAATGGTGTTGTGTCTGGATTCGTAATATCTTGTATCGATGGCCGTATTTTAGAATTCAGCCTGAACATGTGAAGGCCAGACATTAGATTGCCATCTTTGAATTCTGATAAAGACGTTTTCATGTTTCCATTGAGTTAGTACTAGTTCCACGAGGTAAAATAAAGTAGAACCCGCCTAGGTGAGATGTGAACGCCATGAAGTGCACTCCAGTGTTGTGTATCGCAATGCACGTTTTCCGGAATAACTGTGTGTGTGCGATGGGTGTCTTCCCAGGTTACTTTCAGTCAGGGGTGGTTGTCAGCTGAGTGTCCCAAGTGCATCCGTTGCAGAAAAGAAGACTCAGGAAACTAAAACCTGCCATTATGCTTGTTTCACTTCCCTTCTACCTTTTGGCTTTATGCGCCATCCACGCCCGCCATGCCTGCGTTGTGCTCCCTGGAGGCACGTCCTGTTTCCATCTCTTTCCTCTGAGCGTATATATATTTGTAATTCCTATCCTGGAGTGACCAACCTCCGGTCTTGCGTGGAAGACTGATTTGTTTACGCACACACTGAAGCCCTGGTTAGACCGTCTAAATCAGTGGTTCTCAACCTTCTGGCCCTTTAAATACAGTTCCTCATGTTGTGACCCAACCATAAAATTATTTTCGTTGCTACTTCATAGCTGTAATGTTGCTACTGTTATGAATCGCCATGTAAATATCTGATATGCAGGATGGTCTTAGGCGACCCCTGTGAAAGGGTCGTTCGACTGCCAAAGGGGTCGCAACCCACAGGTTGAGAACCGCTGGTCTAAATAGAAGATGCCGTAGACATGACCTCTCCTTCCATTCTCATTGAGAGTCCTAAAAAATGTGAGATGCCGGGTTCTCTCTTCAACTTTCCGTGTACGTTTTGGTACTTTTTATTTTTCATTCTCGTTATGTTTTATTCATCATTTTGGCATTTTATCAACATCTTTACATTTTCAAGTCATGAAAGGTGAGTAGGTTGGATTAACCGGCAGAGCACTGTTCTTGGAGGTAGGGCACATTGTTTGTTTATTTCTATTCACCCTCTTTATGTCAAGCCTAGAACTGTCGTCATCAGACAGTGATTTCACAGATATTTATTTTACTCTGAACAAAAGTGGGCTGACTGTGTGCTTCTCAAAGACAAGGGCCGTGTTCATCTCTGTGGCCACAGGGCCTGGCATATAGTGTTACCAGAGTAAAAGAGGCCGTTCACTCGTACCCATTAAAGCCTAATTAAATTTGAACAGGAGTTATAGCAAAGAAAGTCGAGGTTGATTAGTTGAGGAAATGGTGCTAAGCCTGGAATCACAGGTGAGCTAGTGCTAACCACTGGCTTCCAGGGGATGAGTTATATAGGGGAAAACCATTAATCATGGTGGCTAACGGAGTTGGGGTCATGGGCTCTGCTGCTTGGTTGGGGCCAGGGTAGGGCATCAGATCCTGACATCAAACATGGCATTGTTCTGTCTGTTTTCCTGAGGGAGTGGTTCACAAGGTCATGGGCCTGGGGCTGATGTTATCTTTAATTTGACCAAACTCTGTTTCTGTGGTCAAAAGACCTGAGGCTTTGTTCTTGCCACAGTTTGATGCTGACCAGAATCTGATGTCCTGAGGACTTAGTGATTAAGGAAGGGAGTGGACGGAAAGAAAGGAGAAAGGGTCATGTTAAAAAACGGAGTTTCCTCACGGTTACCATCGTAGTAGTTTCATTCAGTGTGTATCTACTGAATGACTTAGATGCACAAATTGAGACTTCCGTGAAGTACATATGTGTGACTTTGGAAACCAGAGTTATTTATTTTAATGAATTAGATTTATGTGAATTAAAAAATTATTCTTTATAAACTTACAGTGTTGAATATATTTTAGTGGCTCCACTCAGGAGTTACAAAACATTACTAAACCCTACAATGTAGAACTACTTCTGAATTAATTTGTGTTTAAAAACATCATTTACTTCTAGATTATTGTGCCCATCACATTTTAGCTTTAATATGTTAAAATATTTTAGTAGTTTTTAATATTTTGCTCAATGTTTAAGGCTATATCCTGGCTTAGCAGTAAGTAATATGAATTTAAAATAACTTGACAAAGTCACAAACATTGTTTTTTGTTCTTATTTATTGGTGAAACTTTTTACCTAAAAGCTGATTGGGAAGACAGAGGTATAAATAGAAAACATATATTTTGTTAACCACTTATTTATTTAAGGTGAGAGATACCAACCCTGACTTTGCATAAGAATCTTGGGAATCTTCAGAAAAGATGGATGCTTGGACTCTGACCCAGAAATTCTGTTTTAATTGTTCTGGGGAGGACCTTTAACACAACTGTGTCTTTTATTGTGTATGTGTATGTATTCAGTCTGACCAACAGTGTGAGGGTTTTTTGCGGGGGTTGGGGTAGGTGGCAGGGGGAGCTGTTTCCTCCACCAAGAGAGCTTTCCAAGTCTGTTCTGTTAGTCCAGCTCCCTGTCCTCTCCTTGCTGGCTCCATCCTCACATCGAGTTCAATGGGAGACAACAGAAGGCACTCTCCTCCCTCCTCCTCCCCCCACCCCTCCCTCTTCTAGACTCTGCCCACTTCCTGGGAGATGGGAAGGCAGGGGGAGAGAGATCTTCTAATGTTGGAAGAAAAAAAAAAGAAAAAAGGAAGAAACTGAGCAAAATGTTTTAAGAGAGCGCTTTCTCATTCAGTATAAAAGTTCTGAGCACAGAATCAGGCAAACAGCTTGAAATAGGAAACATTATGACATATATAAATTATCCTGCTTGTTATAGAGTTTCAGATTCTTAACAGCAGCCAGGAAGACAAGCTTTGAAAAGGGATTATGCAATTTGGCAGAGGTGGAGGTGTTCAATTAAAATGAAACACCCCTTCCTCCCCCTCCCCCCCAATAAATAGGTCTCTTCCTGTTTGGCTGGTGCCAGGAGTTATTTGAACTAAAGGGTAACCACAACAGAATGACTAAGGATTGCTCTAATGGCAAACATTAAAAGGTGTGACGTATAACATCCTGGGCACAAGATCACCCAGACACAAAAAGGAACTGAGCAGGCTGTGTCGTTCAGTCAACATTCCCATCAGGGCATAGAGGCTCATCTGCCCCAGGCAGGGAAGGAGGCTCAAAGCCCAGGCCCCTCACTCGGACACTCCTCAGTTTCTCTGCCTGGAAAACCGGGTTGGCGCATCAAAGACATCAAGGTCCTAAGAGTGTTCATCCCTGCCCTGGGTTTTTCAGGAAAAGGCTATATGGAATGCGGCACACACCAGGAGGCCTTCCAGAGGGCCTGAGGCCATGTGCAGGGTTGGCCTGTTTGGTTATTACTAAGGACAGTGATTTATATTTACTGCTCAGTCCAAATTTAAGGTTATTATCATACCTATATAAGGTTTGACTATGCCTTTCAGTTAGCAAAAATTCAGGTTGGAAGATTGAAAAATAAATTACTAAGCCCTCGTGAATTTACATTCATTACTAGATAAAATATGAATTAGTACAACCATTTTAGAAAACACAGAGCCATAATCTAATAAATTACTGCATGTTTATTCCAACAGATCTTGAATGTTAGAATTTTCATGTTTAGTTTGTTAAGATTAGGCTTGTTTTAAGGTGTGTCTTGATGTCTATGGAGTTCACAGCCCTAGGATTTTAAAAAATGTAGGCAAATTAGTTCTTTTGCATATTTCCAACATAATGTTTATCATAGACGACTTGGGTTCCAGACACTGGGTCATTGCCATAGAAATACAGGTGCATGAACTCTATACAAACCATGCATTTTAAACATACACAAATAACTGAGATTTTGCCATTCAACTCCACAAATACCAAATGACTTCAGTTTGCCAGATAGGATGCTGGATGTTAGGAATAAAAAACTTCAAGGACCCCCTTAACCTGTAAGATGGTACAGCTAGGAAACAATCATGATATATAGAGCGGCAATCACCACAATGAAACCAAGACACTCAGCTGCACCAGGAGCTGGGGTGGCTTTGGCAACATTGAAATAATCCCTCAGATCTAATAGATGGGTGAAGTTGGGGCGGGGGGAACCATGGTCTTCAGTTTCCTGGACAGGTGAAGCCCCCTTCTGCCCAGTTTCTCACCAGAGGACAAAGGGTGGAAACGCAGGCTGCTTTCCAGCGCTGGCCTCTGGGAGCCTGCCCTGCTGCAGTGGCACCATCTCCTCAGGGGTGTCTGTTTCCAAAGTGTGGTCTGTTCCTAGCCCTTGTTTTCCCTGGGAGACTTGGCTGCATGTGAATGAAAGGGGATGCGGACGTGCCCCCTAGTGGTGGAAAGAACCCTGTATCAGCAAGGAGGGGACCTGACTCCAGCAGCTACCGGCTACCCGACCTTGGGCAGATCACTGAGCTCTCCACGTCTGTAAATGAGGTGTTGGATTCGATGCTTATGGTGGTTCCTCCAGCTCTGCCGTTCTTACTATGTCTAATGCGTGGTCTCTGATAACATGTGTGAGACCGAGTTTGGAAACAGGGACTAACATGGGTTTGTCTTCTTTTCAGTTACTCTTCCCAGAGAGTCCCTGCTCCACCTGGCTGTGCGCTGGGGCCTGCCGAAGCTGTCCCAGTTCCTCGTGTGTCTCCCGGGGGGCGTTCAGGCCTTGGCTTTACCCAACGAAGAGGGTGCCACGCCAGTAGACTTAGTTTTAAATGGTGGGCACTCCACGCTGGCTGACAGCATCACAAAGTGAGTCTGGCTACTTGGTAGTTTCTCTCGTAATCTGTTTCTATAAGGTCTGCAAACATTATGGAAAAAATTGAAATAACCAAACCACAAGCTAATATTGGTTTATGTTTTACCTTTAGTTCTCATGTATAAAGTACATACACAGATATACAGGTATATTTGGCATTAACACTTTATCGGGAGGAAGAGGCAGGGAAAAAAGTCTCAAAATCTCTATAGGTAGCTATACTTAATAATAATTAATAACCCCTACTTATTTTTGGGGTTTCAGCTTACATGTCACTTCTTCAGAGAGGCCTTTTGTGTTATGGTCTTTTATGATTATTCACAATAGTAATTGTGACTAAAATTATTCACAATAGTCACTGTAATTTAGAATTTTATATATATAGTGATCACCTATTTCATATGTCTCCCTCCTAAATCTGAGGGCTGAAACCATTTCTGTTTTACCCACCCCTGTGTTCAGCACATAACACTCACTGAAAGAATATAAGTTTTTGTTGAATCAATGACTGACAGACAAGCCCTAAAACACTATAAAGTCAATGGGTGGTTATCAGGATCTAGTGAAATAATTTATCAACTGTAATGTTGTCTATGTTGATGATGATATCCACACTTTCAATGAATTATGAGTATATTGTTACATGGTTCAGATTGGTCATTATTCTTAAGCTATGAAAAGAGGATTCATATATGGTAATTTTCTTCACTTAACATGTGGTAAAAAAAATCCTTCAGGCAGATGGGAAAGTACATTAAGTGTTGTCAGCATTATTATAGTATTAATGGACTTGTTTTTATTGTTTGGCTCATAGAACTCAATGTAATTAATTTATGGTTTTATGATCCATTCATGGATCTTTATAAAAAATATATTTTTATTGATCTCAGGGAGAGAGAGAGAGAGAGAGAGAGAGAGAGAGAGAGGAAAGAAACATCAATGATGAGAGAGAAGCATTGTTTGGCTGCCTCCTGCACCCCCTCACTGGGGATCAAGCCCGAAACCTGGGCACATGCCCTGACTGGGAATCAAACCTTGACCTCCTGGTTCATAGGTCCATATTCAACCACTGAGCCACACTGGGTGGGCCATATATGGATCTTGGAGTAGAAGTCAGAGCTTTTTTTGTGTGTGTGTTTTCCCCCCCTCATTTGGTCAAATGATCACCAACCAAGGAAAGAACCCATCCACAGAGAATTGCCCTTTTCTTTGCTCTGCCATGACCCAGCAGGACTGCTTCTTTTGACTTAGTGACTGTTCCATTGAGATCCTGGAGGCTGACTTCTTCATCTTGTAGCTTTTATCTTTCTTCTGGGTCCAAGACCAGAAGATATTATGTGTTTTAAAAGTTTACACCTCTAATAAATCCATTCATGGGTGGGATTAGAAGTAGACTGACTGTCAGCTAAATTTAGAGTTTCCATTTTTTAAATTAATAGCAGTGATCTGATTGCTCGGGCTCAGAGCCCATTGTCCATTTGTCTCAGCGGCTTGTCATTGGAATAGGAAGTTGTTTCCTGGACGATTCTGGAATCCCTGCCAGGTATTAGTGCCAAGAGGTTAGGAAGATGCCCCAAACCTTAGAGCATAAGTGCTCTTTCTGGATCTCTTTTTGTCACTCCCAATGATGGAGATAACACTTATTGGATTGGAAGTACACTGTGTTTCTGAAAGACACACGTTTGTGAACAGAATGAGGCCATGGAGAGGAAAGAGGCAGAGCACTAGTTCTGTGACACAGGGGACCTGGGAGCGAGCTGCTGGGGTGTGACATGCTGGGGGCTGTCACCTGGGAGCCACTCACATTTTCCTCCTGAGGTTTCTTTATTCTTTTTATCGCATGAGCTGTTAAGCCATCCCGGATACTATGATACTACCCATGAAGCCTACATATAGCCAATAAATGTGGAACTGTTCTCAGCCAAAACAGAACAGAAAATAAGTGGATATTCAGGAACTTAGTTTGGGACTATTGTGCCTTTGTTTATGGGAGTGTATTCAAGAATGAAACAGGATCAAATTTATGCATGTTTTCATTTGCATGAGAAAATGACTTACAGCAGCAGGCCAGTGTGTTTTGAATATCTCACTGTTTGTAACATCCAAACCTTACCATGTTCCCTGGAGAGCCTATCTGTTTTCCACTGTAATCATCTAATAAACTGGTGGCTGCCTGCTAATTTGTTCTACTTGTGGCCCCATTAAAGGGAGAGGCATCTTTTCAGATTGAAAGGAGAATGAAATATTGAGGTAAAGTCAATACTGTTTCATTATTTATATAAATCTTTAAGGTATATGAGATATATAAATGGCTTTTCAATTGATAGCTCCTCTCGGTGGAAAAAGAAAGATGGCTTTATTAGAACCTGTTTCCATGACTTTACGTACTCACTAGTACTGTCAGCAGGTGGCTTTCGAGGACCTTTTTGCCAGTTGGATTTGTGATATCAGGGGCAGTGGGATTTGGCGGCGGGGAGAGGGGGGAGTGCTTCCAAAGCTGTGCGTGGGTTTTGATTTGTGACGTTCAGTTTCCAGGGCAGACGTTCCCCAGGCTTCTCCCGAGTGCAGCTCAGCGAAGATGCCTTCCTGCAGTATATTCATGCGTCAGGAACGCTGACCCTGACGCTTCACCACACGGCCGAGCATTTGTTGGAGGCAGACATTAAACTCTTCAGGAAATACTTTTGGGATAGAGCCTTTCTCATCAAGGTTTGTGCCCTGTTCTTCTAGTGTACAATAACCAGCACTCATTGTTTGGGGAACAACATTTTCCTAATAGAAGCTTGGGGGGTAGGGAATTGGAAACTGTTACACAGTAGAATGAAGATTATTATGTAATATTTGGGTAGTAGAAAATAGGAATTTATATAGTGTTCTTGTTTCTTTTGCTTTTTATGAGCTTGCTTTGTCATTGGTGGACTTTAAAAATTCTAACATTGGATATTTTCTATTAATGTATTGGTTATGCTATAATTCTTATCTAAAGCAGTTGCATTTAGGGTAATTTTATTGTGTAATATCAACTGTGGGTTTCTTATGGCTTAGGTGTAGTTAAGCATTTGCCCCAGGGTACATATTCTTCCTGAGAGGGGTCTCATCACTTGAAACCAGTTCTTTTTCAGAGAAGTTTCCCTCCCCCTGCCCACAGGCCCCACATACAGCATTGGGTGCCATCATAGCATGCCCTTCTCAGGGTTTAAGATGTTTCATCTTCACAATTTTTATTTTTTGGGTGGAATCTGGAAGAATATAAAGAATATTTCCATCTCTTAATTATTATTAAGCAAAATGTTCTTTTGAGTAAAAGGGCTGAGTCAGTCTAGTTGAGAGTGCTCAGGGGCGTCAGGGTTCACCCACAGATCCCGTGACCCTGTGCTCTCAGGCATGTCCATTCATAAGGCTCGGGCTTTATGGCGTATAGACTTCACAGAGCACACAGTCCAGGAGACTCATCTTGTTACTTATCACAGTTCTTGCCAAATGAAAGATTTAGCTCAATACATTATCTCTAAAATGCAGATTATAGTTGGCTTTTTCCATATAGGGTTTTATTTAAACAACTAGAATGAAACATGCTCTTCAGAGTATGAACTACTTCCTTTTGTTGGATTTTAGGACATTTAGTGTGTAATTTTCTGGCATACGGTGTTTCCTGTTTTGCTTACGGGTACTTGTCATTTAAAGATACTAAGCCTTCAGCCATCCCTGGGCTTCTCCCCCGGCACCTGGTGTGGCTGTCCCGGCCGGACACAGGCTTGGCCTGGGAAGCAGCACTGCTCGAGATGCACTCTGCTCCGTGCAGGCCCTTCAGGGCGGAGCTCAGCAACATGTGTGTCCTCAGATGGCAGCACGGCACCTGGTGACACACTCCTGAGAAGGATGGAGCAAGCTCTGTGTACAGCAAACATTATTGAACTTTCTTTCCATTATAAAATCCTCCAACTTCTTAGTTTGGATTTGTGATTTCGCATAACACATTTGAGATAGCACTGATCAACCTTGGGGAAGATTTAAGAGGAGTAAATGTAGATGCTTTAATATTATTTCATAGTGGACTTTGCAATAACAAAGACCAAATGGAAATTGCTTTCCAGTTACTTGGAGATTTTCACTTCATGAAAAACACTGAGAAAGTTTGTTTATGACATAACGTTGATAAAAGAATCAGTTACAATGGCATGGCCTTTTGTTCCAGGTCTTAGCACCCCTCTTTTTCTTCCTACCCCGAGGGGTGTGGCTGGGTAGTGAGTGGGGAGACCGGGAGGGAGCAAGGCTGAGATTCTTTAGAACATCCAAAGGCATTAATTCTTACCTGCCCACCAAATGTTTTTATGGGATTATTGAATCTAAATTTTTTGGTGGCACGTACTTCTTACTTGGTTAGATGTTATTTTAAACGTGAGCAGGTGGTAATTGTTATATAGGTTATCCACGCCAAAGCTTTACAATTTTGGGTAACAAATATGAGATTATGCATTATTATAAGTATTCATGCTTTTCTTAAGTCTTAGATTTCTAAAAGTCTATTTTTAATATGTTTTTTATTGCTTTTAGAGAGAGAGGAAAGGAGAGGAATAGAGAGATAGAGACATGGATGAGAGAGACACATTGATCAGCTGCCTCCTGTATGCCCCCCACCAGGGATCTAGCCTGAACCCAGGCATGTGCCCTGACTGGGAATCAAACTGGGGACTTCTTGGTTCATGTGCTGATGCTCAACCATTGAGCCACACCAGCCAGGCTAAAAGTCTATTTTTCTATCTGACTTGATCTGAGGCGCTAATTCATCCTTGGTGAACCACAGTATTGCTAAGGAGGCAACTTCAGTCTCAGGGTTTGGGTATTGCACAGTGATCTGCAGCTTCCAGAACAACGGCAAAACCTTGCTGCAGAACCTACGTGTGCTGTGCCACGCCCAAGAGCCCTTCGGCCGACCCCACTCAGAGCCACACTTGTGCAGACTTGTAAAGGATTCGTGTCCTCACATCCTCTTACAGCGGCACTGGCGGACTGGAAATTTGTAATGGCTATTAAACGTTAGACAATGACAGGTTGGTGCTACATATCCAAACTGTGAAGGGAGATATTAGAAGATTAAATACTAGGCAAAAACCTTAGCTCTGTCTTTTAATCCAGTTTTAGCTCTCTCCCTGCAGTAGCATTTTGTCCATCAGAATGCTGAGAAATGATACACGTCATGTCATGCCAAGGGGTTGCAGACATCTGTGTCTGTGGTAGGGTTGTCTAGGTTTGCCCATGTGTTCAATTTGGAGCGTGTGCTGATGCAGTCTTGGGTGGTTTTACCATGTGACTCATTAACACATAATTCTGTTTTTCTTCACATCTTCACTGGCTGTGGGAAATCCATTTCAGTAAAAAATACAGAGGGTTCCAAAGAGGACAGCTTCTCTTTAAGGTTCACAAGCTTAGTCTTGGCCAGGGACAGCCTGCACCTGTGTGTGTCAGCGTGCAGCCCAAGGCCCATGCTCAGCCTTATTGTCATGAGGGCTGTGGTCCTTCCCCATCATCTGGGCCCCGGAGACCCCTGTGTCTTAGGGTGTAGATGGGGGTTGGGCTAGGTGGGCAGATGCATAAAACAGTGGCCATTCTTTCTGGTTTCAAGACTTTGTTCTCTGTCCCCCTTTTTGGTTCACGTATCATGTTCTGAGAACCTTGTCGTGACCTGGGAAGCAGGAGAGGATTCGTTTCAGGGACGGTTTTGGCCCATGCCTCCAGGTTCCCCCTACATCTCTCACCGCTTCCTGAGGTGCTGCCTATCTTTCCCCACCTCCCCAGACCATGCCTCTGGGCTGTCCCTGCTCTGAGGTCCTTGAATGTGATTTTTATCTCTTTGTTGCAGATTTGAGGCCTCAATTGGCATTCAGTGATTTTTTTCTCTTGCTTCCTTAGACTCTTGAAGAGCAAGAAACCAGGCCAGAGGAAAGATCAGATATGCCCTCCAGTGCTGCAGAAACCGAAGAAGGTATGCATGCTCCTTCTCCCCCCGGGAGCTCAGAAAGTGCACAAGACTAGCCGGCTCCCTGGGCTTGAAGTGCACAGTGAAGAAGAGCCAGGACGAGGGGGATCAGAGGCAAGGTCAGGGTTGTGGGCGACCACGTGGCCCCTGGGTCCTTTGACAGCGTCACATGAAATATACTGTTTTCCCACTTTTGTTTAACAATTAGCATCCACTGAGTGCTGTTTGCCAGGTCCTGGGCCAGGTCCTCCCACACTCCTGATCTTCAGGGCACTCTCCTGACACACCGATTACCATCCTCATTTTCAAGTTCGGTTTGTTCATCCCATTCAGTCCTTCATCACTCGCTTGTTCCTTAGCTTGTTTCACATTGTGGAGCCTCTACTCTGTGCTGGGTAATGGGTCTTGAAGAAGATGGAGGACGTGAAGGTATCTCTGTTGTCATGAGGGCTGTGGGCCGCACCCCTGGCATGTAGAGGCAAGGGGCAGGGCTGCGGGATGTTCTGCAGGGTACAGACAGCCTGCCCCGCCCGGGTTGTCCTGCCCCGTACGTGGTTCACTGTCCTGAGGGAGCTTCAGAGACTGAAGCTACAAATCTACTCGAGGTGGGAGTCCTGGCAGGAGGTATACTTTTTGCAACACATTGTCACTCCTCTTTTCCATGTCACAACACATGGAATCATGTTGATGCTGCACTTGTGCATAGCACCCAGCTCATTTGCCAGGATGTGGTACTTTCTTATTTTCTCCAACTAAGAAGTTTACCTGGGCAAGCAATCTCTACCTCAGTTCAGGTTCTTTCCTCTTTACATACACACATAGGTCTGATCTGTTAGGGAGTCCTGGTAATAAACACAAGTTGTGATTCTAGGGAGCATTCTCACCTCTATCGTTGAACATTCCCATACTTGTTATATGGAATGGATTCGGACTTTTTTATTGTTGTTTTTGTTTTATTTTCTAAAACAGTAGTTCCAAGAATCTGACTACATCACTATGTCTTCTAGGATAGTTAGGGCAAAGGTTTTGTAGATTGAAATACATATTATCTTTTATCAGTTTCCTTTTGCTTTATATGTTAGAGTATTGTTTTTATTTTTTTGAAATTATTTGTGAGGATAGGGTTATTATTTGGGTACATTATCTTGTAAATCCAGGATAGTGGAGGGGGCATTACAAACTATCTGTTCATGTAAAGGGGCAACACATTGTCACTCCTCTTTTCCACGTTGTAACACATGGAATCCTATTGATGCCTCAGTCTGAGAGGGCTGAGAGCCAGCATACTAGATGCTGGGGTTAGGGAGAGAAAATAGGACGAGATCCTTGTCCCTAAGCCACCAGTTGTTGACTGCTGGTTTATACCTTTGATTCTTGTAATAAGCAACACAGATTCGTTGCATTCCAGGTATTTGTCAGGTAGTATAATCTTAAACTCTTTGATCCTGTGTTCGGTAAAACTTTATCTTGGAGAAGGAAAGTGTGTGGCATGTTGTCAGACGCCTGTGTGGCCCACCCACATTGCACATACGCCTGGGTTAAGCTCACCAGCTGAGCTCCCTACCCAGCGGCACCCGTGTGGGCCCCGCGGAAGTGCCCTCACTGTTCTCTCCTGTGGGTGATGTGCTGGCCTCGTTGAGGGAGCTGCCGCTTGCCCGGCCTGCCCTAGGCGGCGGTGGGTAACTTCACACTTTCTTTGGAAGACCTGTAGGGGAAGCCTCTTCTGGTCTCATGTCAGGAATGCTGGCTTCTTCTGAGCATTTGGCTGGCTTTACTGCTCTAACTGGAACAGATCAGGTTTCTTGCTTCTAGTTGGCTGATAAAAAGTTGGAGCTAAGTTTCTGGCCAGCCAGTTGCAAATGTGTAGGGTACTGCTAGATGCGTTTTTGCATTACCGTTATTTCTTAAGTCCTCACCCTTGTTTTTCCTTTTTTTTTTTTAAGTCAACTTCCAATTTTGAATTAATGTCTTTTGTCTTTTTATTCCCCTGTATTACACCATTGAACGAATTGAGAACAAAAATAAGGTCTAAATATGTACTTAAATTCTAAGTTCTTGCCCTTACAGGGTGAACAATTTGAGATTGGGGCAGGAAAACAAGCTGTCCCAGCATATTATGATAAGTGCTACGGGAGTAATGTGGCTCTAGCACGATGAGAACTCTGTGGAGTGTGATGGAAGGCTTCCTGGAGGAGGTGACCCTGGAGCTGTGATCTAATAGAGCAGAGGTCCTCAAACTTTTTAAACAGGGGGCCAGTTCACTGTCCCTCAGACATTCCACACATGCGCACTGCGGGCCTGGGACAGGCAGTGGCGGCAAAAACACCCGGCGGGCCGGATAAATGTTTTCGGCGGGCCGCATGTGGCCCACGGGCCGTAGTTTGAGGACACCTGTAATAGAGGGAATGGAATCTAGATAGGGGAAATATATGCAATACAGAGTCCTGAACCAGTTTATGCATGATGCATTAGGGAGTGGGGGGGGGAGATGCAGGTCGTTTTGCAGTCCTGGGGTATGGTGTGTGTGTGTGTATGTGTGTGTGAGAGAGAGAGAGAAAGAGAGAGAGAGAGAGAGAGAGAGAGAGAGAGAGAGAGAGAGAGAGAGAGATGCCAGGAACACAGGCTTGGGATAGAGGCAGGTCAGCAGGACTTGTATAGGCAAGGAACTGGAAATCTACCCTGACAGGGAAACTGTTTGAAGGAACTGAGGTTAGATTATTATTTTAGAAAGGTCACTGTGAGAGTGTAGAGAATGGATCGGAGAGGCCAGGGAGCTGCTGAAAGTAATGCAGAAGAAGGTCAGCATCACAGCAGTGTAATGAGTGTGAAGAGGTGGGGACAGGTGGGTTCTGTCCTGAAGGTGTAGTATGTCACATGGGTGTCATGGTGAGGGAAAAAGGCAATTCCTGGTGTGTCCCTGGGTGGATGGGCCTTACAGGAAGCAGGATCATGACAAAAATGTACTCAGTTTTAGGTTGAGTTCGATGGGCCTAGGGCAGTGGTCAGCAAACCGCGGCTCATGAGCCACATGTGGCTCTTTGGCCCCTTGAGTATGGCTCTTCCACAAAATACCACATGCGGGCATGCACGTACAATGCGATTGAAACTTCGTGACCCATGCGCAGAAGTCGGTTTTCGGCCTGGGCGAGTCTATTTTGAAGAAGTGGCTTTAGAAGAAGTGGGGGGTGGACATATAGAGAGGATGAACGAAAGGAGATAGATGAAACAAGTATACAAGACGAGTGTGGATGGGAGAGTTGGAAGGGGTCGACCTCAGCGAACATACTTCAATCAGATTGAGGACGTTTTTAGCAAAGGCCAGCTTAGGAGTACCCTAATTAAGTTAATAACAATGTACCTACCTATATAGTTTAAGTTTAAAAAATTTGGCTCTCAAGAGAAATTTCAGTCGTTGTACTGTTGATATTTGGCTCTGTTGACTAATGAGTTTGCCGACCACTGGCCTAGGGGACGGACAAGTTAATACATACCTGGCTGTTAGTTGGACTGTAGTCACTCAACCGATAAGAAAAATAATTTGGACAGAAACTCAAGTCCTCTAACTTCAAACAATGTGTGTATTTTATAGATCCTCTAGACCAGTGGTTCTCAACCTGTGGGTCGCGACCCCTTTGGGGGTCGAATGACCCTTTCACAGGGGTCGCCTAAGACCATCAGAAAACACATATATAATTACATATTGTTTTTGTGATTAATCACTATGCTTTAATTATGTTCAATTTGTAACAATTAAATTGGGGGTCACCACAACATGAGGAACTGTATTAAAGGGTCGCAGCATTAGGAAGGTTGAGAACCACTGCTCTAGACAATGCTTTAATCTGTATATGCTTGTTGGACATTAGAAACTGTATGCACATCCCAGCAGAGGGCAGTATTCAACTCAAGTGAAAATATTCAATTAGTTTTTTGTCCATTCATAACCCTGGAAGTGACTCAATTGGAAGAACAAAACATTCTGAGCATAAGAGCTTGCTTTTTACCACCTTTAAACTCCAAAAGCAAACTTTCCCTTTGACATCTACTAAAATATTCTTAATAGCTCATGTTTTTCTGTTCCTCCTGCAGCAGTGGATAGAGGGATGCTCTAAGCTTGTAGCTGCCATTAATTAAAAGACTATAATAACTCTAGCCTAGAAATTTACTGTGCTGTTCCTGTTAGTGTGATACATGGTTTTATTATTGTCTCTGAACCAATTATGTTCCATAATTTCATGATTGTAACTGTACTTCCAGAATGATGGGAAGTTATTCCAAATGAATTAAATGGCCCAAAGGTCATCTCATTTTTAATATGCTGGGATGAATAAGCTAATTATTAATTAATATTAGTACTAAATTTATTAGTATTTATTAACCTCCCAACTGACTCTGTTTTGTCCCTTGCATTTTTTTTGGTTCTTATTTTGTACCTTACTATCCTACCCTAGGATTTCCAAAGAGCATTATTCAGAACACCAATCTTGGAAGATGTTCTGAAAAATAAGGATTCTTTGACCAGATAAGTAAAAAATTCTCTATATGAATCCTGTGTTGGAGATTGAGAATACATTTAATGTTTTGTAGGTTCTAGTAAGTCTTGCAGTCAAGAAGCCGGTATAATCCTGTTTAACCTAACAGTTCTCTAAATTGGTCATGAAAGAATCTCTCTTCACAGTTCTCAGCATCTCGTGGAAGTGGTCTGGGGAGGGTAGTTTAGGAATGTTGCTTCCTCATCTTTACTGATCCTGTCCTTTCTAGACCTTATTTCCTCCTTTTCCACTGTCTCTTGGGTTCTCTCCATCCATTTGTATAGAGATGCTCACACTGGGACTGGGGCACGGGACTGACGACTCACGGTCACGCTGAGTCTCCAGATCACCCACGCCTCGCCACACAGTTTGTGCTGTTTGGGAAGCTATTGTGCCTAGAGTCTATGGGGCCATAAGACAAAGAGAACCACTGCAATAGCATTGACCATTCTGCAAATCCATTTTCTTTTTTGT